TCCTGGACTGGAGGCCTGGCACAGCTGTGCGGCAGGGGGCTGGGGGGCTCCTGGAGCGGGGTCTGCGCAGGTTCCTCAGTAAAGCCACCCTCTTTGGGGGGAAAAGAAACCAGATTCGGTTAGAATTTCTTTCCTGAGGTATTAACAAGTTTTAAAATGTTTCCTTCTTTGTACGATAATGGCTGTTTGGCCTGGAAGCAGGATGCAGGCTTCAACAGTGTGTCAGTCAAGTGTCCCCGCGGCCGGTGGTTAGGTAGGACGTGGGGTTTGTTCGGGTTTTTGTATCTTGCTCTCGTGTAACGCTTTGCTAAACGTCTTGGGCAGAATCCGTGGGCTCTGGGAACGCTGTCTGTGGAAGCTGGAGATGCGTGAATACTTGGTGCATATTGGTTTTCTGTATCAGGATGTTAAACGTGTAAGGCTTTACGTGGGAGTGAACAAGCTTTTTTTTTTAATTCCTAGGTTTCTAATGAAGCTGAGCCATGAGACTGTGACCATTGAGCTGAAGAATGGGACACAGGTGCACGGAACTATCACAGGTATGGCAGGGTGGGAGGCTACAGCAAAGTATTGCCTGCTACCTTTCTGCTAACAAGGGGCAGCCGTGGTTGGGGCCGAGCTTTTTTGTTTTGTACTCCCTCTTGTGGGGACCTTCTCCTTCTATTACAATATGCAGGAGGTGTTCTTTTTAATTCACATCTTTATGTGCAAGCTTGAGGTGTGTTTGTTGCAGGAGAGTCTGGACAGTTGCAGAAGTTGCTGGGAGGCGATAAATTTGCTGTAGTCCTGGGAGCCTCTGAGCCTGACTGCAGGCTTTGCTTACAAACAGGCTTGGGGGTGAAGGAAGTAAATTCTTCCAAACCGTTGGTGAAGCTGGTGTAAGCATGATATTCTCTTAGAATTTTAGCAGCACGATAATACTGCTGAGGTAGTTTTACTACCGTATCAAACTGGCAGTGGATAGACAGCTGAACTTTTATAAGATTTTTCAGTAGATCTGACTTTCATTTGTGAAATTGTAATAAGCTATGGTCACATAAAAATGTTACAGCTGAATCGTCAGAAGAGGGGGGACTTTTTTTAATGGTGGTACAGATAAATGGCAAATGTTAAGTGTTGATATGGTCTTAAATCGGTTAAACTTTCTCTGTAGGCAATTTTAATCTAAAAATTAATTATTTCTGTTGAGTGTATTTTAGCTCTGCTTAAGGTGAACTTATATGGAAATGCATCTTTGCATATACTTGCACTGATTTCATGAAACTGATTTGAAAACATAGCTTGATGGGGAATACAGGGCAAAAAGGAATCCTGGTGTCAAGAATCTGGTCCCCTGCTGTTGGCAAAGGTCTGTCATGTAAGTTTGTGGGCCTGTCTAGGAGGTGCTTTTTTGTATCACTGAACTGATAGTTGCAGGAAAAGCCTTGGTGGTTCATTACACGGTTTTCATATGTACTGAAAAATGTGCGGACTATTTTGTTTGCTTTAGTAATATTAGTGAAGGATATTGTTCTGAGAACATTCACGTTGGCATTACTTTAGAGAGGATCAGGTATGTGGGTGGGGCACATCGTATTTAATGAAGCAAACCCTTACAGTTAAGTTGATGAACGTGCTTGATCTCCTTTCCTTCGCTCACCCCAGGCTACTTTTAGAAGCTCTTCTGCCCAGACACTGTTAAAAAAAATAAAATTCAAACTTGGCAGAGTTGTATTCCAGGGGATTGCTTAGGTGCTTTTTTGGCCAGTAGCAATCTGCTGAGATTTGGCAGTTAAAAAATGGCATTATTTTGCAGCCGGATCCATCAGCTTTGATTAGGCCTGAATGCACCACCCTGGTATCTGATTGCAGCATGCTCTGTTGGACCCAGCTAGGTAGGAAGCAAACAAACTGCTTGTCTCCTGACCTCGGTGCTCTTGCAGGCTTAATTGTCGAGCAAAGTCTCATTTTCTGCTAAGAATCTGTAAAAACTTCGAATGCAATCCATGTATTTCTAAAATTACAATCTTCCCTTTACACTGGTGCGTGAACTATGTTGATAATTGCTGTGCGGTCTGCAAATTGTACAATCTCCTCTTCCTCTCGGTGTGTCGGTTGGCCAGAGCAGCCATGCTGAAGGGGCGGGTGCCATGTAATGCATACCTCACACAAACTAAGGGGCAGGTCAGGTGGAGTGCAGGTGTCGGAGAGCCGTGCAAAACCTAGAAGTAAGGGAAGAGGACAGAAAAATGTATGGAATGAGCGCAGCACAACAGTTCTTCTGGTTCTGGCCTGCTACTCGCTGACGTTATTTACCTTGGTAAGACATCCGACAGTTTGTCTTTATGTGTTGATGAAACGAGACAGTAATTGTTTTTACCACAAAGGGTTGTTTGTACAGAAGTTTGAACATACAAAAGATTTTGCTCATGTGGGTGCCCTGTCAGTGAATTAGCAGGTGTTTGTAAACTACAATTTCCGTCTTTTGCCTAAATTTTTGATCTGAAAAAGTTACTCTCATTTTGATCTTCATAGTTTGAGATCAAGTCCTATGCAAGACTTGTGATATGCAAAATAAAAATTAATGTAGGATGCTTTTTAATGCTTTTTAGGGCTGTTATTCAATACAGGCATTCAACTGAGACTTTTTTTCCTAGTTTTGGATTATGCTTAGCACTGCGTAGTGGGCACAGTACTGATTCCATACAATTCTTACGTACTGGCTGTTCATGGAGTTTGTAACCACAGTGATTGTTCCTCGCAGTAGTGTATTTTATTTACTTTCATAGAAGATACCACACTCAGAGAACAAGTGCTTCTTTGGCAGTTGGACTTTTTCTAAGGCTTACAGAAAGAGGAAATTATCAAGTTATTTTTCCTCCTCAAAGGTTTATTTTTGCTTCTTTTTAAAAGAGTCAGAAGACTAGTATTGGACTTCTGTAATAAGCAGCGGTTTATTTGTTATTCAGAGGAATTGTTTTAACCATTTATGGAATTGCTACGGCTGTTGCTAAGACCTAGCTAAAGATCTCTAGCAATGAGGTGTTGAAGGCAGCAACTGATAAATTAGCGAGCATAATTTAAGAGAGAAAAAGACGTGTAGTTTCCTTCAGTTAGAGGCTTAATTAATGAATGGGAGAAGCAGGTGTTAATGAACAGGATAAATCTTGCAGCACGTGCATACTTAAAAATAGCCAACAAGGGACCATCTTACAGGCGTTCATCCCTGAAATTAGACTTGTGTTGTTTCAGGAGTGGATGTCAGTATGAATACGCATCTCAAAGCAGTGAAAATGACGCTGAAGAACAGAGAACCGGTACAACTGGAGACGCTGAGCATTCGAGGGAATAACATCCGATACTTCATTCTGCCAGACAGTTTGCCTCTGGATACTTTGCTAGTGGATGTTGAACCAAAAGTCAAATCCAAGAAAAGAGAAGCAGGTTAGTGTGTGCTTTCCCAGTCTGTGTTCCTTCTGCCGTTGTATGCATTTTAGTACTCTGAATCTGAAGACGTCTGATTTGAGTGTCTTAGTATCTGCGTTTGGCAGCTAGTTCTTTCATCTTTGAGGGTTTGATACTGAACTGGCTCAGTCTGCCTTGTCCACCTTCTTAGCATCTGTAGAGCTTTCTTTCACGTGAAGTTACGTGTATGGCTTTTCATATATCTGTTTTTAAAAATGTAAGTGTTTTTAAGCTTGAGTAAATCTTAACCTGTCGCAGTCTCAGAGTTGACACCAAAGAGATTTACGCTTCCTCTTCTCCGAATGTCTGCTGTGTTTCCCCGGTTTGTATGGGGAACTTCACATAGCCTAATGAGAAAGTACAGAACAGCCTCTTGAACAGCGCTGAATGCTTCACTGAAATCTCACTTGGTAGTGGATAAAAATAATCTGTCAGAGAACTGAATTTGAGACTTGAGAATCTGAGGGGAGTCTAGGCTGTATTCCGATGAGCAGCGCTCTAGCTTTGACTCCCAGTAGTGTTCCACTCTGCGCTCTTCCTGGAACTTTTTTTTCAAAAGGCTGTTGAAGAAAAACCTTTTCCTTAGAAGCCTAACAGTATAGAGAGTAATTCAGTTTTAATCCACACTGTTAAAGATTAATATCCAGTAAACCCCAGAAAATCTGTAGGTTGTCTTCAGGCAGTATATATTTTGCCCAGTGGCTAATCCGTGTGTTTTTAAAATAATAAGCTTGAAGTGAAAGCTAATTGTGCTCTACAATAATGTTGTACCATTTCTCCTGTAATTAGTGTTTAAGTATTTGGATCTGCGGTCTTTGATCCATGCGTACATTATGAATTGGTGTGCTTACCTTATTGAAATGGTATAAGGAACCCTCAGGTGTGTGCATCACAAAGTGCAAGCGTAACAGCTGCTGTCCTTATAGAGAATAAGGATAAAGCTCCTGAAAGTGTTTTGCTCCTCTCAAAAGTGGTGGTGGGGGACACCGTCCATTAAAAATAATCTGACCACATGGAGAAATTGGAGTGTGGTTGGATTGCTTTTTTTCTGAACCTCACGATGTGATGTGAACAAGAACGTGACTATTTCTTTTTAACTTTGAAGAAAGAAGGGGAGCTGTGATAGCGCTATTTACCTCGGTTCAATACTCCTTGCATCTTCCCCGTACTGAAGCACACTGGGACCGCAGCTGCCTTGTGCTGCACTTCCCCTTAATCTGTAAACGCCCTTGGGCTTCAAGAGCTTGTAACACGTGATCTGTTATAATAATGTTATAATGAACACATGAAACAAATGAAGCTGTGGTTGGAAGGCAGGATGCTGGCTGAGATGTACGTGACACGCGTGCCTTGGGTCTGAGCGTGCTGGCACTTAGTGAACACGACTATCTACTGATGCATGTAGGTGCTGTAATCGTTTAGTCAGGTGTTGATGCTTCCATCTGTTTTTCAAAGAGTCAAACCATTACCGGCAAAACAAGTGGCACCTTCCTTGTCGCACATTTGTCCTGTGCCTCTGCTCTTTCTGTCTTCACTGCGTTTCTAACCTCGTACCCTCAGATGGAACAGAATAATTGTTAGAGCCTGCTTCTTGAATGTGGATGCTACTGGGTGTCCCTTGCCCAGCCACCCACTTCCACAGAATTTGAAGTTTCTTGGTATCTTTTCGAGCCTTACACTGACAAACTTGTTTGAAATTAACCAGTAATTTCCAAAGTTTGTAGGGTGGCCTTGCAACCTGGTGGGGGACACCGTATTTCTTTAGGAAAAAGGGGTGAAATGACATGTGATCATCATATGGATCATATGACCTCCAGCAGTTGCTTGCAGCCTGAATTACTCTGTGATTCTGTCTTCCCTTTACCACTAAAGAGCAGTATTTAAAAGCAGGAGCACACAGCCAAGACCTTGGCCTGAGAATCATGTTTGAAATTGGCAGAGGCATCACTGAAAACAGCAGGAGCTGCTTGGTGCTGGGATCCTTTCAAAATGCTGCCCTTTCACATGGTGCCTGGGAAAGGGTGAGCCTGGGAATCTCACAGCGTGATAAAACTCGCTTTTCCCTTTAGCAGCGTACCTCATAAACCACAATGCGAGCTGTGGCCAGAAAAAATCTTTTCCACTGTAATGAATAGTAAAAAAATACTCTTGTCTTGCATATGCTTTTTCCGATGCCTGAAAAACTAGATTTTATCAAAAAAAAAAGAGGAATCATAGTTCTCTGTCAGACTTACCCTAGCATTTGGGAGCAGCCAACTGTTAGATCCCCTTGTTTTTTGCAGGGAAGCCAAAGACAGATAGTCTGTGGAAGCTGTATACTGAAAAACCTAATATAAAAGATGAAAATACTGTCTGAAACTTACTGAGAATTAACAGACTTGATAGCTGACTTACCGCTTCCCTGTGATGAGACGTTATGTTGTTTTATGCTTTTGGTGCACAATGTTTTAATCAAAATGAAAGTATTCCTGGGTCTCACTTGATTTATCCTTTTTGTTTCATCTGCTAAGTTGCCGGGAGAGGCCGTGGCAGAGGCCGTGGGAGAGGCCGAGGTCGTGGAAGAGGAAGAGGGGGCCCAAGACGATAACTTCTCACCACCGTGCAACAGTTTCCGAATTCTGGGCAGTTACAGATAAATACAAACCGGCTCTTTTTTTGTACAGGTCTTGTTTATGGTGTCCATTTTTAATAAACTGAAATGTGAAAAAGTTGTCTTCCCTTTGTTAGTGGAGTATGGGGAGGGAGGCATGGCCTATTTCTAGAGGCTGTTGCAGACTAAGCATGTCTGGTTGGTGTTGGTTGTCACCCACCCCTGAAGGCTGTACAATTACCTCCTGCTTTTTGCCCCAAGCAAGAGACTTTGTGTTGGTGTGCTTTAACAAGTTTGTTTGAAATTAATTCCTCTTTTATAAGGCACTTGCCATCTTCTAATGGTTACGCAGCTAAGACACTATATTAAGAACCCGCATCCCGTGAGTGTGTGTCTAATGTCGTTCTTCAGAGCAACCTCTTTAAAGTTTGTAGATACAACTGTACTGTTTTCTATTATATGAAGCTTACAATTTAAACATGTTGCTTTCTTTATAAAACGTTCACGTAGGGAAATTAACCAGGTCTGTGGAACTGCTGGATTGTTACATCTCATGATTAAAGTGTACCTGGATATGAACTTTGTCACAGCTAATTATATGGCATACTTTTGTTTGGGTGGGGCTTGTAAAGCAGCTTTAAGTACACTAGAAGAAATCTGTGATAAAGCGCATCCCTAGAAAGTACGAAGTACAGCACGGAGCACAATTACATGCTGGAATTGGAAGTTTACTTCTGGAGATGAGAGAACTTCTGCAGCTCATTTTATATATATATATATACACATATATATATAAAAACTGCTTTGCTGGACACAAGTATAAAAGAAGCAGTGTTGGCCACCTTCATCTCGAATACCACCCTACTGACTTCTCCCTTGTAGGAAAGGGATTATTGCATTCGCACTGCAAGACTTCAACAGTTTCATCTGTTGATGAAATACAGATGTCATTTCAAATAACATGCATGCTTAAGCGTGGCTTTCCTGAATGGTAAGGGTACTTGCTGGTAATGTGGTGCAGGAACGTGCTCAGTTGGTTGCCCGTGTGCTACAACAGAGTGGAAGAGAATTGCCTAATGCGTAATGGGTTGATACGCTGGTTAACTTGCGCTAGCTAGCATTTTGGAACTGCCCTTCTGGTTTTCCCTCTCTTACAGAGGCCATTTTAAAGCTTCATCTTGTTACAGAAGAGCTTTTTTTTTCCAAACCATTGTGGAACCTCCTAAGAGCACTTTTTGGTCAATATAGCACCCACCATTCTCAACTCTATAAATAGCTGCTACAAGTAATGGTTGCTGCTGTCTTCCAGAAGTGCCTGGTCACTGCCAGTGGTGGTACAGTCGTCCCAAATCCAGCTGTCAGCGTTCATGCAACGGTTGAAACGCTTTCCCTCTTCAGTCTCTTCCTTACAAAAGTTACTAGTGCCCCCAGGGGTATGCACATGGTGGACGCCGCCACCAGCAGCCCGATCACCGCTAGGGCGTAGCCTGGGTAATCCTTTGTCACCAGCTGCCCCTGCAAGGGAGAGAAGAAGCGCAGGATCTGTGGGATCTGGTTTTCAGTGTCCTGGAGTCGGGTCTGGAGCAAAGCTGGGTATTTAAACCGGACACCTGGGAAGCGCTTGCAGGCTGCAGCAGCCTGTGACTGTCCTCAGTACAAGCTTAAAATTGACGAGAACAGAGCTGCTGACAAAAATATTGGGGGGAAGCTTCTGCAAGCTTTGGTAAAGAGCAGATTTTGGCTTGATTCATGTTTCTTAACGAGGAGGCTGGGCCCTGACCTCTGTCAGGTCTCTGCATTCCTCTCCTGGAGGCTGTGCGCTCGTGCTGACACCCAGTCAGCACCCGTGGCCAGGCCCACCACGGGTCCCAAATCAGTGAAGACATGAAAACAACAGGCATAATTTGTTCCTGTGTGCTACGAACGTTTCCACAAAAGGTTATGAAACCAGTGATTACTTATCCAGTGGTAATTTTCCTGTGATAACACAGTTCAGCATTCGTACAAAAGCATTTTAGCCATGAAGAAAAACGTATATGGAAATTATGAAAACCAGAGTGGTTTATGAAAACTATTTATTCCAACAGCAGCTCAGTTCTGTTAAAATGCCACTAATTTTGTTCAAAATACTACACTGTGAAAGTAATTTTTCTGTTCAAAGAGTATTTTTAAGACGATATGTGGGTCTTCAATCAACGTGAATAAAATTTTACTGTTTGAAGGGATCAATTAAGAATTGTAGTGGGAAATTACTCCCATTTTACAGAACCCTGGCATTGTCGCTAGGTCAAGTTTTCCCTTTCCGCAAAATTAAGGAGTTGCCCCGACTTCAGCTGCAAGCTTTCAGAAGGCAGTTTTGTGGAACCGGGTAGTTAGGAAGGAAGACTCTGTCCTTGCAGGAATTAAGGAAAGTTTAAAAAAAAACAAAACAAAACACCCCAAACCAGAACTATTTTACCTGTGTGGCATCCCACGCTTGGTATTGCAGCGTTCCTGTGAGGATATAGTCGGTGAGGTAAAATATAAATAGGCTTATAATTAGCAAAGGACTAGCAAAAGCCCACATAATTTTCCAATACCAGTTTGGCTTGCGTCCAATCATGGTGTGAAGATCTTTCTCAAATCTGTGTTTAAGAAAAAAACAAGCATACATGTTTTTGAGAACACCTGCGTATGTTGAATCGATACCTCGATTTGAGTTACTTCAAAACCACCTACAGAATTAAATATGGGAGAGGGGAGTACAGTTGACCAGAAGAGTAATGAGCAGAGAGGTATTGTCTGAAGAACTGGTTTACCGGGATTACATATAGACGTTGAAATGAAAAAGATAGCAGGGCTTCCGAGAGGATCCCAAACTGTGGAAGAGTAGCTAGGAATAGGTACAGCAGGAAAAGTCCCAACAAAATTCTGCCTGGAGTGTAAGTAAGTTCAGACTGTCATTGGTGTAATGTGACGGAGAAAAGCGATTATGCTTAAGTAATGCGGAGAAAACACTGCTCGTTTTTGTGGAGTGGAGTTGTTCTCACCGCTGTTACGCGACTGTCTTTGAGGAAGAACTAATGCTGGGGGTGGTACCTAAAATCACGCAGGAAACCTGGATCTGACTTGAAGGCTTTGAACTCATCGAGGACGCGATACCAATGTAGGTGCCTGTACATGTACTGTGCTAGTGGACTAACAAAGCAAATACTTTGCTTTGTTAGTCCACTAAAGGAAGGCTAAAGGAAGCCTTTTCCTTTAGGTGCCCTAAGCGCAAACACCTCTGCTGTGTAAAACCTTTCCTGATGCCGAATCTTGCTTTCACCTGCAAGGGATGACTTGGGAGACCAGCGAAGTGCAAGGTTTGAAAGCAGACTTACCGGCACTGCTGTGCTCGCGCTGAATTGCTGTGAAAGGAGAAGCAGAGTTTCGGCAGAAGGTGCTCTTGAGACCAAAGACAAGAAGAGCAGGGAGCAGTGTGTACGGCTCATTAGTGTTCCCTTGCCTGCAGGGAAAGTGTCAGCCCAGCCTGGCCCCCACGCAGCCCTGAACCCGAGGCCCTGGAAGGGGTCTGCAGAGCAGGGGGCACCCCGTTGCCTTGCTGATACTATAGCGTAGGAGAAAAATTCAGCCAGAGGTGGTATTTTTATTCTGGGCCCTGCATGTCTTGGCCAGTGGTCACACCCCTGCTATCCCACTATGAAGAAAGGCGGGTTCAAGGTTTTACCTTCTTATCCCGTAGATATAACACACAGCAATGGTTTCTACCAGCACGATGAGCAGCAGTGAGAGGGTGGCTGCATAGTCATTGAATATGTCAAACCAATAATTTCCAGCCTCCATGGTGAAGATTAGGCCAATCATGCAGTTAATGAAACACACAGCACCTGCGTGGATAAAATGGGGACCCTGCCGTTACACCTGGAAATTTAATTGCGCGGGGGAAATGTCGCACTTCTTGTGGCTATAAAGCTGGTGGGATTTCTACTGATTTCTGTCCAGGAGCAGCTTTCTCGGAGGAGAAAGATAATTTTTTTGCCCTTTGGAAAAGGCCTGTCTTTTTTTTTGGGGGGGGGGGGGGGGGGGGTGCGCG